AAATAATCGCTTTGATAAAACTACAAATACTTAAAAGTGGCTTGAACTCGTTTCGCAACTTGGTCTTGTTATCAGAGTGACTTGGTTGAATGAACCTTGTCCAAAGTCCTCTGCCATAGTCAGTCTCATAATTCCCAGCATCAGACCGTGGACTTCATACATTCTCAGACGTTCTGTCGGCATCGTAGTCGACATTATCAGTAAGTCTTGCCATTCTCCGCACCAAACTACAGCGCGTCAGAGACAAGTAAAGTCAATCCCTCGACTAATATTCCCTCAAAACGTTTGCCGTGCTACCTGAGCAAAATTTAGACGCCTATTCCTGGCCACCTGTTGCATCTCGAGTGGATTTGTTGTACATTTTGTCCATAATGCCGAATTTTTATGATGGTTGGCTTATTCGTCTGCCTATTTCCGTGACTGCCAGACTCCCAAAGTTGTACTGGTTTCTTTGAACAGACTTCACTCACTAAGAATGTCTTCGGGTTTAATAAAGGTTACGACCCGTAAAGGCAGTGTTCAGTATCTGCAAGAATGGGAATCAGAGCCTAGGCGCTGTGTTCAGTCAGGCGGCATTGTACTTGCTTCTATGGACCTGAGAAATAGCGCCTGGAGTATGAGGCACACTGGGACTGGAAGCGAGTGAAATCGGTCAACCAGAAAGATATGAAACCGATCTACAGGACCATGAGTAAGATCCGGATAGAAGGCCAGAGTCGGAGAAGCCGATCGAAAGAGGTGAACACTAAACTTGCCATAAAAGTGCTCACCTTTAGACGAGTGGAATGTAAACAAGTCAGAAGTTGTGATAGGGCGGGAGTTGGATAAGAGAGTAAAAAGGTGAGAGATGGTACAGCTTCGAGACTACCAGTAAATCAGTAATATGATTTACTGGCAGTCTCAAAACTCTACTTAAATACGAAAATAATTTAACCTATTTCATTACCGAATTACACTCACTTTTACTATCTAGTTCATACGCCCACTACGGAGCATGTCGCACGCACTCTTGCAAGTCGAGCTGAGGAGAATGCTCTTCTCATCATCGTTGCAGCCTGCGTATTTGGCTTCGTCGTGCTCGTAATTAATATGCTGGTGTTCGGCTTTCTCATCAAGCGCCGACGGCGCCGGCGTCTGCACCGGCAGCATCGGCTGCTCCACATTGTTGCGGATGGTGGTGGTGGTGGCAGTGGGATTGGCGTCTCTTCGCCCGGAAACCGAGGTCTCGGAGTAGGCGGAGAAGTCATTGGACTTCCCAGAGCATTGGGTTTAACTGGAGGAGGCAGCATAGATCCGGCTCATCTGCCAGGTAGCCACTTCACCATGACGAATGGGATGGCGGTACTTCATTCTGCTCAGATGGCCTCATCTTCAGGTTTGCTATCTAGTCCAGGGATAGAGACAAAGGGTCCTAACGACCCTCGAAATTATACTCACAACTCTCATGGCCTATTTTTCCACGATCGAAGTCAGCATCATCATCAGCAGCAACATCAGCATCTACATCATCTACAGTCGCATCAATGGCAGAGCAAGTCTGGGGAATTGATAAATGATTACGAGTTGCAAAATGGGAAACTGATCTCAGAACCTAAATCAAAAACTTCCTCTGGTACGAGTGAAGATGAGTTATTCTGTTGCCCAATCGGCAAAAGTCGAGCTAAGCGGAAGCGCGGCATGCTTTCCGGTGAGTCAAAAGCATCTTAAACCGGGTGTCACTCTCGCTTTGCCATGCAAGCAGAATCTTGAAAATAAAACTTAGGCTGTCTCAACAGACAGAGGCGCTGGTAAGCTAAAGTTTAAGATGAAGTAATGAAGAATTCCTGACTTAGAAAAGCTGAGCAATGGAAGTTGGGGGTGAAGTGATGCAAAGTCAGCTCGATACAATGACAGAGATAAGTAGCAATATTTTAAGTCGCCAACTTCCAAATCGGGATGAAGTTAATCTGCCTCACCCCGACAAAATTAACCATGAGTTTGATTACAAAAGTCTTGTCTGGATTCACAAGTATTGTGAGGGTGGAAAACAAGGAGAATGTGGTTTTTCAAACAACATTTTGTATTCTAATCTACTCTAAATATTAATTCAAGTATCACTAATAGCGAATTATCTGGTTAACTGTTTGCTAAGTCTCCTTCTAATTTCGGATTCTTATCAGATATGTGGGCAGACGAGAATTTTCAGCTCGATGCACAAAACCATGTTTCATATCCCGCAAGGCTTTCTAACGAGACCCAGAAGATGATGATAACGTTTTTAGAAACAGAATTTCAATGGCACCAGGAGGTTTATTACCAATTTCGTTATAAAAAATTCAGCTAAAAGTGTGTGCATCATCCTAAACAATCAAGAGTAGTCAAAGTTCTTAACCGAAATCTACTGATAAATTGGTGAAATAATCAACTGGCCTGTTTTAAACTTACAGTTCAGAGTCTATATCCATCCCCAAGTCATATTTTCCTATTTTCAGCCTGATTCCTATAAGTCTTAAGATATACATCCTACTTCTTTAATGTCTAATTATTTTGCCTAATTAAACAGCCAAGATTACTGTGATTATTACTGCTAAGTGCCAAACTAAGGTTATTATTCTTCTATCAAATATTTTCATAATTTTACCGATCCTTGTAAACGTTTGTTCATCAGCTAATCTAGGATATAAAAATTTTGTTTTTGCTCACAAATTATTCACATATAACTAGGCTTCATACCCTGCAGTCCCACATTTATGTGGCTATAATTTGTATCTTTTTTGTGGAAATTATGCAAAATAAATGTATTTCCTTTATTATTTTGAGAATGGCTTAAATATATGCATTACTCTGCTGCTCGCTTGAGGCTGTGTGATAGACAGTTGAGAGAGTAGAGAGGTTTCACTCTGCTTAGACTATATCGAACACTGTAAATAATGGAATAATAATATGATAAAATAATTTCAGATATGGAGTTGAACAGTCCTGGTGTTCACACTTCGGCACTGAAGTCAGGGTCGGCTGCAAATTACCTCTG